GTAGGGAAAAAAAGACTGATACATTAAGATCTTCAATTCAATACCGGTACAGAATCGTCATTAGGATGGCCTCATAATACCCCAATCACGAACATAATCTTTATAAGATCCTTCATGAATATGATCATAGTCACATATTTGATTGATCACGATATGTGTTATTGTTACACACTAATACTCGAATAATCAGAAAAATTCATAACTCAAAAACTCAATAGAGACAAAGTAGATAAAGAGAGAAATTTTGATAGAAATTTCACGAATATCTTATCGGTCATTTATGCTTTGACTATTTAGCCATTCATAACCACATCTCTTATAAAACACAAAAGCAAAATATGAAAAATACCTTCTTCACTATTAGATAGAAAATGAATTGTCTGATTAATTCAATCAGTCAAGATAATAAACGCGCCATATATTTAAAATATGACACTTTTCCATTTAATGGATTTTATTTCAAATAAATTTTTTGACTTTGAACCATGCAGCATTATTATGAGCCACTTAAAATATAATTTCACACTAACACTTAAAAAAATTAAATTATAAACCCATTTAGAATGTATACTAAAATTATTATTTAAATTTATTATGTGAATTTTATAAAAAAATTTTTTAAAAATTTAAACTCTTTATAAAATAAAAAATATTATAATAAAATCATAATTTGAATTTGAATATATCTATCAAACAATCCTTTCATTACGCACTAATGACTCGAATATGTAAATGCCTAAAAAAAAGGGTAAAAAACAAAAACAAAAACGAATATAAACACTACGACGTGGACCCCGTTTTACTAGTCCGTAACGCGCTTTAGCCGGGCCCCACTGAACACACCCACTCGCGTACAGCGTCTCTCTCTCTCTCTCGAATGACACAAAACTAATCAACAGACAATCATCTCCTGAGCTGAATCCTCCAACCCCCTTTCTCTCTCCTCTCACCCCGCCACCGCCTTTCTTTCTGGGCAATCTGTTTTTGTTGGCAACCAAAAAGAATTAGAAAAAAAAAAAAGAAAGAAAGAAAAGAATCCAAAAAGCGAGAGATGTTGGGGAAGTTTCACGTCGAAGAAGCATCCCACACGCAGCCAAATTCAGATAATCATAATAATAATACTGTTTAGCTTCATTCGACACAAACACACACTTGGCCTCTTCTTCTTCATCTTTTGGAACCTTTCTCTTCTTCGTCTTCTTCTCTCTCTCTCTTTCTCTCTCTCTATCTCTCTATATATATGTGTATATTTGTGTAATAGTATGATTAAGAGGATTGATATCTTATCGTTTTACGTGCCCACCACCGCATGTTGGTCCACTTGGATGTTGTTTTCCATGGTCATTACTGAAACTATCGTCACTTCTCCATTTCCAAACCTAAGTTTTTCTTCGTCTTCTTCTTCTTCTTGTGGGTCTTGTTTCTTTGGCCTTCCATAATGTCGCAGAAGAGACATCCAGAAGATGGTAGAGTTCCTCGGTCGGAAGGGACGAGTCCCGATGATAAGCGTCGAAAGATTGCTGCTTTCAGGAAGTAAGGCATATTTTCTTCTTCTTTGTTAAGTCTTCTTTTTTCTTTTTTTGTTATATTCTGTTAGAATAATTACATGGTGTGAAATTTGGGATTGGGAAATGAATTGGGTTTTGTTTTGTTTTGTATAATTCTTTTGACTTGTTGTTGAATTTCCCGAGGCAAATTGGGTTGGGTTTGGTTTGGAGCGAATTGGGTTTGGCTTGTTTGTAAAATTTTTGCAAGTGGAAAGGGATTTTGTTTGTGGTGAATTTTGATTGAAATTCTTTAGGCTGAAATGCTTGTTTCTAGGAAATGATGTGTGTTGTGTGTGTGTGTGTGAGTTTATTTATTTATTTTTTAAAATTTTTTTTGGTGCTTTCCAATGGTTATTGTTTTATCCTTTGGCTTTTATGCTATGAAGAGTTAAATTGAGAGTTCTTTTTAGAAGGGAAATGTTAGTGTAATTGTGTGCATATGAAATTTGATGATGAACTTTCACGTTGTGAAATTTGAGTGCATTTGGTTTGACATAATGGAAAAGTTGTTTGGAATTGTTTCACTTGAATAGTAAATGAGTTCTGTTGTATACAAGGGGATAAGAAAGAAAAGCGTTATGTGACAGTTATTCTAGCTGGTACTGAAATGTTGGTCTCCGAAAATAAACCTTTTTGAGCATTCTGAGGTTTATACATTTCAATGGACACTTAAAAAAAATTTGAACGCTTTTTTCAATGGACACTTAAAAAAAATTCGAACGCTTTCTTTCTAATGAGTTATCAACACCTTTCAGAGTCGTTATGGAGGCAATGCGGATGCATTCATTGGAGCGATGCCTGGAGCCTTTGATTCGTCGAGTGGTAAGTGTGTTTCTTTTGATCACGGGTTTTGTATCTGTATATTCTCAAGTCTTAATCTGAAACCTTATGTGAATTGTTTGTGAATTTGTGATGATGCCAACTAGCTGGAAAAACAACACTGCAATTTAGGAATCTTTAGAATTCTTTAAACTTGATAAGGAAATCAGTTATTAAGAAAACGTTGGAATTGTAAGATACCACCATGCTTTGCAGGGTGCAGCTATGCATGGCAGCCCATTTTGTGTTGACATGAACACTGGCCTGACGCCCTTGGCATCTATCAGTATCCTTTCCACCTAATGAAGGCTGCGCTCTCTATCCAAGTAGCCCTTTTAACCATAAAACTCCGCTATAGGCACAACGTCTTATAAGCCACAGATTGCCTCTTCCTTAGACATCCACTTCGCATGTGTAATTAGCCGGGATAAGCCTTAGAATGACATATTATCTCTTTAATTTTTACAAGCATTTAATGAATTAGCTACCTTCTACTTTAAAGTTGTCAATATTGTAGAACAATTCACCAAGAATCGGTGTGCCTTAGATGATGGGAGCTTAACAAATTTATCTTCTTGCATTGGTCTAGTCTGGTAATCTTGTCAATCTTGATTTGAATTAGCTTCAGCGTATTATGCTTGTTTTTGGAGAGCCTCGTAACTGAACAGAGGCTGGATGTCTTTCAATAGGAAAGAAGAAAACATTATGGGTTGAATAGAGATGAGATAAAGAAATTTGCTGGAAATGTTTCTATATTTTGTTGTGTAATGGTTTTGGGCCCCTGAACCTATGTTTTGTGAGTTTATCGTATTCTCTCTTTTGAATAAGTATGCACGGGTTTGAGTTTTAATAATTGTTTCTAAACAAGTTCTCATGTCTTTTTCAGGTTAAAGAGGAAGTTGAGTTGGCCCTAAAAAAGCATTTGAACAATATGAAACAGTAAGAAATGATACTTTATGGATATTTTTCCAATTCTACCTTCCTCCCGCAAGGACAGAAGTTGTCAATATAACTTTGACTTCCTTATTATGTTTGATAATTAATCTTTATATGTAATGTTCAGGAGTTGCATGAAAGAGACCCATTCTTCCGAATCCAGGAGCTTAAAGCTACGGTTTTTAACTAATCCCTCTCTTCCAGTATTCACTGGAGCCCGAATTGAAGGAGAAGAATGTTCCAGTATTCAAATAGCCTTAGTTGATTGTGTTACTGGACAAATTGTTAAATCTGGGCCTGAATCCTTAGCCAGGGTAGAAATTGTTGTTCTTGAGGGTGACTTTGATGGTGAGGAGAGTGACAATTGGACAGTTGAAGAGTTCAAGAATAACATTGTAAGGGAGAGAGAAGGGAAAAAACCCCTTCTCACCGGAGAGGCGGTTCTGAATCTCAAAGATGGTGTAGGTATTGGGGGTGAGATCTCCTTCACGGATAACTCAAGTTGGACGAGGAGCCGTAGATTCAGGCTAGGGGCAAGAGTAATGGATAGTTTTGATGGAATTAAAGTAAGGGAAGCAAAGACAGAATCCTTCATTGTCAGGGATCACCGTGGAGAATGTAAGTGCTTCTTATCAAGATTTGACAGTGTCAATATAATACTTCTACTTGATGCTGAGTCTTTTTTTTTTCCCCCTTTTTCTTTTTGGTCATTCCTCCCCTCTCCCTGTTTTCCTCTTCCTTTCCCTTCCTTTCTCTTTCC